GAAATGACCATCAACATCTGGTAGTTTCCACATATTAGTGACCAAGAAGTTAATCGGTTCTAATAAGATCGAAATCGCGATCAACATGTAGTAGTTTCCATAAATCAGTGACCAAAAACTTAATCGGTTCTAATAAGATCGAAATCGCGATCAACATGTGGTAGTTTCCACAAAACAGCGATCAAGAACTTAATCGGTTCTAAGATCAAAATCGCTATCGACATGTAGTAGTTTCCACAAATCATTGTCCAAGAACATAATCGGTTCTAATAAGATCGAAATCGCTATCAACATCTGGCAATTTTTACAAATTATTGACCAAAAACTTAATCGGTTCTAATAAGATCGAAATCGTGACCAACATTTGGTAGTTTCAACATATTAATGACCAAAGGACTTAATCGGCTCTAATAAGATCGAAATCGCGATAAATATCTGATAGTTTTCACAAATCAGTGACCAAGAACTTAATCGGTTCTAATAAGATCGAAATCGTGATAAACATCTGGTACTTTCCATAAATTATTGACCAAGAACTTAATCGGTTCTAGAAAGATCGAAGGCGCGATCAACATCTAATAGTTTCCACAAATTGGTGACAGAAAAGTTAATCGGTTTTAATTAGAACGAAATTGCGATCAGCATGTGGTTAGTTTCCACAAAACAGTAATCAAGAACTAAATCGGTTCTAAGATCAAAATCACTGTCAACATGTAGTAGTTTCTAAAAATCAGTGACCAAGAACTTAATCGGTTCTAATAAGATCGAAATCGCGATCATACTTTTGTAATTTCCACAAATCATTGACCAAGAACTTAATCGGTTCTAATAAGATCAAAATAACGATCAACATGTGGTAGTTTCCACAAATCAGTGACCAAAAACTTAATAGGTTCTAATAAGATCAAAATAACGATCAACATGTAGTAGTTTTTACAAATCAGTTACCAAAAACTTTATCGGTTCTAATAAGATCGAAATCCTGACTGACATCTGGTAGTTCCACAAATTAATGACCAAGAATATTAAATTGGTTCTAATGAGATTGAAATCGTAATCAACATTTGGTAGTTTCCACATATTAGTGACTAAGGACTTAATCGATTCTAATAAAATCGAAATCGAGATCAACATCATCTGGTAGTTTCCACAAATTAGTGAACAAGAATTTAATCGGCTCCAATAAGATCGAAATTGCGATTTTATTAGAATACTTAATCGGTTCTTATTTATTTATAGGTACTATTTTTTTTTTTTTTTAATTAATATTCAGTAAAATTAATGCTTGTAACGAAGATGCCGACTGATGCTGATGTCCGGTTTACCTCGATTTGACTCTGATGTTTTTAAGCTGTAAGAATGTGTAATTTAAATTTAGCAGACTTGGCATTAATTGGCGGTTACGTGTGTGCTTTGAAACTATTTCTATGTGTGAATCACTTTCGCATGTAACCTACAATGTGGATTGGGTCACGCGTTTCAAATAATTTTCCCCCTTCAAAACATAGCTATCGTACACTAAAAAAAAAATAAACAAATAAACAAAACAAACATCTGTTCTATCGTCCTACATTATCGCTGAAAATAGCCTGCACTTTCAAGTAATTTAGAAAAACTTTAAAAACCATAACAAAAGTGCTATTGAACTAGATAAAAGCATGGTATAATATTGAGTGCCTCAGTGAAAATTTGTGGTATTAGTAGTTCCGGTTAAAAACTTGAGCTAGTGGTTATTTATTGATGCTGCTAATTTTTACTTTTTTTTTATTGATAATGTAAAACAGGCAAACTGATACGAAATTTAGAATAGGAGATTAAAATAATCAACTAAAAAAATAATTATAAGACAAATGAAGTCTTAAAGAACTTCTCTTGATTTTCCAAATATGTACTTGAACTTGATTTAATTTCAATTTAAGAAAAGTCAAGTAAACTGAAAATGAAGTCAAATCGTAAATCTGCAATCTGATGCACTAGCGTTTACAATAAAAGTTATCATCATCATCATAAGGTCGTCAGACTGGTTGGACACGTACCTCCACCCTTTCCTATCCTGAGCTAAACTGCGCATTTCCATAAAACTAGAACAGCCCACATACTTAACTATTTGCGAACAGTAATCTAATCTAGGTCTACCTCTACCTCTCCTAACTCCTGCTTCTGTCTCTAATATGTCTCTGACTAGACCTTCATGCTTGAGAAGGTGTCTTACCAACCTATCTCGCCTATTTTTTATTGACTTCCATAAAGTCCTCTGTTCTCCTATTCTTTCCAATACCTCTTCATTTGTAATCTTTTCTACCCACGTTATCCTCATCATCCGCCTATACTACCACATTTCGAACGCTTCTAACCTTTTCTTTTCCGCCGCGCCCACTGTCCATGTTTCGCACCCGTACAATGCCATGCTCCAAACATACACCTTTAACAACCTTTTTCGAATTTCTAAATTAACCGTTCGCGGGAATAGAAGTGGCTTCTTTTTATTAAAGGCGACACGACCCTGCGCTATCCTTTGCTTTATATTCCTACTAATAAAAGTTATAAAACATAAAAATAAAAAAGTACCTGTAGGCATAAATTGTAATTGCAAGCTGTGTTCATGTGTATTAAACAGAAACTTTCTTGAGAAATAAATTTATTTCTTTTTTGTTTCAGAATATAATAATTGGAATAGCTTCTGGAATGGTAGCATGTTTCGGAAGATTATCTGCACGACGTCAAGAACTTTTGCTTTTTATGGCAATATCAATACTAATAGTCAATGTAGTTAATGCAGTGCTTAGCGAATGGAATTTCTATTGGACTGATATGGTCCAGATATTGGAAGACCATCAGTACAACACGCTTATTTATTTCGGTATATCATAAATTATTAATGAAACAGCTTATACTCTTTCACAGCCGGTATCATTGTTAAAATATTGTATGAAATTTCAATCGTTTCTGCACAATGTAGTTAGATAACCCATTGAACATATTCGTATAGGAACAGTACCAACTTATCAATTGATTTTAATAATGTAGTCGAGGCGTTATTAAAAAATCCTAATCGTAAATAAAAAGCAGGTGGGGTGGTAAAGCTGAACTACTTAACTACAACTTTTTTTTTAATAATTCGTTTTATGTAGTATTTTACATTATACATACATACTTGTAAGTAAAATCCTTACAACAATCTTATAAACACAGGTCGGAATACATTTTTTGACAATTTCCTAGCATTTTTCGAGTTTCTGCATTTTAAGATATTTTTCATGTTTAAATTCTGAAAATATTATTCTTCTGGTAAATATACTTTAAAATAAAAAATTGTTGTAAAACATGACAGAAAAAAGACCCAAAAACTTGGGTTCCAAACCTCGGGTTAAATCGTGATCAACATCTGGCAATTTCCACAAATTATTGACCAAGAACTTAATCGGTTCTAATAAGATCGAAATCGCGATCAACATGTAGTAGTTTCCATAAATCAGTGACCAAGAACTTAATCGGTTCTAATAAGATCGAAATGACCATCAACATCTGGTAGTTTCCACATATTAGTGACCAAGAACTTAATCGGTTCTAATAAGATCGAAATCGCGATCAACATGTGGTAGTTTCCATAAATCAGTGACCAAAAACTTAATCGGTTCTAATAAGATCGAAATCGAATTAATTTAATTTTCAAATAAAGAAGCATACCAAGCTGATATAAACGAAGTTAACCCTACGAAAATGATGGAGATTTGTATTATTCTACACAAATATATTTCCAGTTCTTTTTTCCAATATTTCGTAAAATTTTAACAATATTATGAAGAGTATCGTATCATTTTTTGAAATGTGTATGTTCAGGGTACGTGAACAGTAAAAAACGGAAAAAAAATCGAAATGTGGTATCAAAATATCGTGGCTAGAAAAAAATTGAAATGAGAACATATTAGAAAGCGTAGAAAGACAGAAGACGCTATGGAAGTTAAAAAGGAAGAGGAGAGATAGGACAGTGTTCGCAAATATTTAGGGAATGTGAGATGATCTAGTTGTCAGGATATGCAAAAAATTGGCTCAGGATAGGAAGTAGATTGAATGTATCAAGTTTCGAACGGACGAGATTATGATAATGATCAAGTAGTTAATTAATATAAGTAGAAATTCCTTGGGGGGAAAATTCACATATTTGGTGGACACACTATCCGTTAATTGAAATCGGGTTAAAACACAATTTTGGAATATAAGTAAAACGTCTTCTCTAAAAGTTTTTAATAAGCAACTTCAAATATTTTAATGGAAAAAAATTTAATGTCCTTATTAAATTTTATTATTTATTATCTGTAACAATGAGCATTTTTGNAGGCATATTCATTGCCAAAAGTCAGTTAAAAATATTCCATGTTATTCGTTATTTCTTATTTTATTTAAAGTTTTTGGTCAAATTCCAAATTTTCTCTCAAACCGTATACTTTTTTTTAGTATAGATAGTATTTATTTACCTCAGGATATGCTGCAAAACCTAATTAATCACGAATTTCTAATTTTATGTATTTTTGTTTCCGATTGTACCTCCCAAACATCCTTAACAAAAATACGAAGCCCGCAAAATAGTATGCAAATAATTCAAAAAACTTCACTTATTATATGAACGCAAAGCTAAAGAAACTGTGGATTCCATTTCTTTCTCGTATTACAACGTGTAAAAGATCGGAAACAAAATGCGGTTGTAAATATTTTGATATAAAATGATTGATGTTGATTGTACATTAATAAAATTATTTGCAACCGTATTTTAGCTCTGATCTCTTACGGTAAACAAATTATTGTTGTATCAGTGTCTTTATTAGTCAGTTATTACGTGAAAATATCCGGTCCCACCAAATATTGTGTATGGTAAATACAAGTAAGCAGAGAGAAATAACCCTGCTATATTAATTTAATTTTTTAATGCACCGAAATAAAAACAATCTATTATTTTTTATGTTATTAGATTACAGCGTTTTACGTTATCGGGTTTTCTGTTTTATATTATTTCCATGCTCATCATAATTACTATTAATTTTCCCATGTTTGGAAGGAAAACGGAATTTTTGAACGGTTACTGCAGTCAACATGTTCGTAATAATCATGTATATCTAATAAAATAATTCGAAGTGGTCTTGTGTTCCGTCAAAACTGCCAGACGCGGATCGCGATTTCGATCTTTGTGGATCTCATCAGCGCGTCACAGACAGCTCCGACAGAACACAGACCAACTTTTACACGCTGTCTTAACAGCGCGTTCCAGAAAATACTACAAACGGCGCGGTAAACGCCATCTGTAGTACGATGCTACATTTTAGGATTACGTATGCTCCAACAAGGTCCATTTAAATATATGGATATCTATATCTATCTATATTTATATATTTAAATTATTTACCGCGCCGTTTGCAGTATTTTATGTTTATCTACTTGATTTATTAAAAGAATTAAATATTGTTTTATTTTGCGTAATAGAGGTTTGCAGCATCTTTTATCTTAACCCCTCTTCTTCGCAAATCCTGGTTACACCACCTGCTTTAAGAGCAGGCTATAAGTAACGTAATTTGCAGTTTTATGATATACTTGGTACTAAAATATGCTTAAAACAAAATACACGATCTTCATAGCCCCCAAACCAAAGCACAAGTAGCATTTAAAAAATTGCATCGAATATGATTAGTACTTAAATAAAATTTTCGACTGTAGGCCAAGAATTTACAGGTTATTAACCATTTGGTGGAACCCAAAACTTGTTAAGATAAAATTACTTTAAAAAAATCGGAAACTGTAACCTGTAATAGTAACAGATCATCAAAAACTGGTATTTATAAAAATTTTTTCAATTGTTTACGAAGGATATTTCGTGTAAAAAATTATTAACATATCTTGAATTATTATAAAAAGACAGCCAGTAAAAGTTAAGAAAAATTCTTTTTGGAGCTAACAATAGGCCAATAACGACCCTTATCAGGCAATCTTCTTTGGATGTTGAAATATGAACGAATTTTTAATCCTTTTTCAGCGAGCTATGCTACCCGGATAGCTGCAGGAGTTGTAATAGGAATATCCTTTTTGGACAGCCAATTAGCATTTTGTTCAATTCAAGTTGCACCTAAGCAGAACACAAGTAAAGCACGCAGATCTCAAGAACAACTATCTGACATAGAGTATATCATTCCTAGGGTAAGTTTCAATACCGCTTGTAAAACGAAAAAAAATTTAGTAATCCTTAAACATTTCTTTTTTTATCATTAAGTAACGATTTTCAAATTTTGTTTAGCAAAAACCTCCGTCATCGACATCTTTAAAACCTCGAAATGGATACAATGCTTATGCCCAAAGCTGGGTTTTTGATGCTGATGAAGCAGGCTGCTCTAACATTATCCAACATGATGCTACTGACCCTTCTACGTACCTGAAACCGCCCGAAAATGGGATTCCAAATACTAGTATTAAGTTACAAAACGTATGCACTTTTATTGCTTCTTGCTACAAACAAAATTTAGAACTTTTATTATGGCAATGATGCCGGAGCAATAAAATGAAATTCGAAAATTCCTAAATTAGTAGCTTTGTACCAAGGTCACAAATTAGGGGCTCATAAATTGTCAAAAACTAGACATAGGAGCAATAACATAAGCCGAAAAGCATCACGACTAACAAAGGATAGAAAACGCAAGGGTCCGCTGCGCGGTGAGCGACTGCGCATCAATTTCGGTACTATCAGTTGTGAAATGTCAAACATAAAACTACATGTCAAATCGGATGCGCACTGCTTTACTGCGCAACAGTCAAGCACAACTTAATATTAGTAGTTTCTTTATCTACCCCAAGTCTTATGTGGTATTTATAAAAAGAACGAAGGATTTTGCTTCAAGGGTTTGCTTTAAAGTAAAAGGCTTTACATGCAAATTATGAAAAAAATAAAAGAAGCACCTGCTCAAAAACTAAAGGATTTGCTTCTGAAAAAAGGAATCTAGGTTCACAACTATTTTTCTTGCTCTTTTCAACTTTTCCGTTACTGCCTAGGCATCATATAGCCTGTAACGTAAAGGTTTATGTATTTGTAGGATTATTTTTGAGTTAAAATCTATCTAAAAGGACTTATAAAAGTAATCTTTAGTTGTGTGGCCCCAGTGTTGTGCTTGTTATGGCTGATATGGTGCATTTACGTACAAGAAAATACTACAAACTAAGACGTACACTACGAGAATCCGATTTTAAAACGTTATTAAGATTTGAGGAGGACAATGTCGTGTGGTTGACGGACCACTTTCTTGGCGCGTATCTCGAAACACGTGGAACAGTCGTGTCACCTGTGCAGAAAATTAAAATATTTCTGCGTTATCGTGCGAACCATTCTAAATTTGCTAACTTTCAACCCTGCGCAAGTAAATCAGGAATGTATTAAACAAATAAAATAAACTAGTTTGTCGAAATCGTTACGGGCTAATCTCTAAATTGCAGCAAAAGCTTTTACTTGTACCTTTTATTTTTATAAATACAGCTTATTGAATTGATACTGAATATCTTTGACAGTTTATGAGCTCCTAATTTTTCACCATGGTACCCAAAACGGCCCCTAATTTCGACATTTTCGAAATTTATTTCAGCCACTTCGTTATGCTAACCTCACGGCTATAAAAACATCGTCCGACCGGTACATACTTGAGATGATTTTATTAACCATATATTATACATTTTTAATTTCCATTACTGTAATGCTTAGATTGTTTTATTCTTTTGTTTCCGTAATTACAGCACAATCTTTAAAGAAACAACCACTTCCTAATTAGTTAATTTGATAACAGTAACCATATCCGGTAGCATAGATTTTTCCAAAACTAGCAAAAATCTCTATTTAGAAACGAAAACAATAGCTATCATTTGCATAAAACGATTCATAACAAGATGAGTACTATGGGCGACTGCTGAATGCATGTGGTTTATATTGCATACATCGTGGTTGTTAATTTTCAGAATCTAAATGAGATGGGTAACGGCTTCGTCAAACAGAACGGACCAACCCTGTCGACTGATAAACCCGTCGTTAACGTTGAAGAAGCATCTGACGGAAGCGGTAATAATAGCGATAGAAAACTTAATTACATGAAAAGCTTCTCCAGGTAAGAATTCACTTGTTGCATTTGTCTACCCCCATGTACAATACATCAGATAATGATTTATATCGCTAGCAATATGTTATTAGACATTTAAAATGACATTAAAATCCTATTATTGACCAGTTGAACTTCGAAAAGCCACCAAAAATAATTTAAATGTAACGTAAACAAGTGTGTAAGATTGTGTGAGGATAGGGCTTCTATAAATTCGAAATTATTTTAACAAAAGTGTAGGTAATCAATTTAGACCTATCACTTATAATAATTCTAAAATGAAACAGTCAATAACTTACTAACAAGACAGATGGAAAACCTAAAATAAACAAAATTGTTTAGGTATATGGACAATAGGGTGCTTCAAACAAAATTTTTAATCCCATGTGTAAATTCAATTTAAAAGAAAAAAGAATTTTTCTTATGTTAATTAAATGGGAAACTAAAATAAAAATATTTGCCCTATAGGGCTCATGTTTGGCGAGGATTTTTTTTTTGCATCAAATAGAAACATTTGAGGGGGTAAGAGTTAGAAAAAAAAAATAAAATTTTGTTTGAAGCACCCTAATGGACAATCTTCATGATAACTTTAAGACAATTTAATTAGTTAAACGGTTCTGAGGGCCTAACATAATTAATGTCTAATTTTTATTGTATTCAATTTTATTAACTTTGCCATGGCTAGCAAACAAATCATCGAAAGACAAGTGCAGGAATTTGTTAAGACCACAAATGTATTTTATTACGTTTAGGTCAACATCTCCAGCAGTTCTTTCGGCCAGTTCATCCCAGATAAGCTTATGCACAAGTCAGCCCGCCAGCGTCCCCATTTACGAATGTTTGGAGAAGTTGACCGAGCCATCGGTCTACAGATCAAGACTGAATACAGCCCTGAGTAACAGGGATGAATCCGAGTGCCATTACCAAGCTCCAAAACCGGTAGCCGCTCTTCGTCGACCCGAAACGCCCCAAGGAGAAAAGGTCCAATACGCTTCCCTCATGAAGGAACTCCAAAAAGCCATAGTGAGCAAGAAAGACAACAACGTGTCTTCGCCTGAGAGCGCCAGTCAAACGAATTCGAAAAGCAGTACCGATTGTAAGAACAGCGACGCAGAGTTCTCCAAGGAATTGGAAGCTGCTCTCCAATTGATCCAGGACCTGGAGAGTCCTAACACTATCGAAACAACGTCGGAACCCAAGTCGTCTGATATACGACCGTGGAGGAGTGAAAGTGACAAAACGTTGAACGCTATAGGATCCTCTGAATTGACGTCGCCGATGACCGAGTTCCAGACTGACCTCACAACGTCCTTCAAGCCTGGTAAGAGTGCTCCTTGTGTTGTTGTTTTGAACAGCGATTCGCAAAGCACCTCCGGCTATTCCTCCCCCACGCACAAAGCCAACTGGTCCACCTCATCCTCTGTCAGTGAGGGCAACAACGAACTGGGCAAGCCCTTGTCCTATTCTATACACAACACTAAATCCACAGCTGTCATATCCCTCTACTCCCACGATACCTTGCAATCTAGGAGTAAAGCCATAACTCTAGTTACAATTAGTGGAGACAACAGACCTCTACAGAGTCCTAGATCGGGCGAGGATGATGAAAATAACAATCCAAAGAGTAGGCTGGCTGACGTGGAATATTCGAAATCGAGAAGACCTTCCCTAGGATCCGCCCACGGATGGAACGTCAAGTCGATATTGCGGAAGAAGAAGCATAGCTTACCCAGATTGTGCCCCGAATTGGAGGGGGCGATTTTTAAGTCAGAAAGCCTTGCTTATCTGACAGACATCGAACTTCTTGAACGCCATAAGAGAAACAAAGAAATTGAAAGGGTAAGAATCGCAACCAGGTAGCGGTGGTGGTGGTGATAATTTCCTTGGGTGACAAGTAGTATTATTATCTAACATGGATTTGTGGAATGGTAACATGTGTTGATAATTATTTTTATCTAACTTAGGCTATAATTTGATCATAAAATTCACCAGTTATAACACAATTGCTCTGCCTTGATTTAATATGTTTTTCTGTGCTGATATTACTAACTATTGGGTTGTTCGGAAAGTCATTTCGTTTTTTCCCGACAGAGGATTTAATTGTATTCTTTTGCACCCAACTTCACATTTAAGCCGTATAATTTTTATATGCTTTGAGAGCTCATATAGCAAGGCTTGTGTGTGAAAAATTCCAATTAATTCTACGCAGTAGTTTTTGGTTGGTGCCCTTTTAAATATGGAGAGCGATAAGCAGCATTTTCGACATATCTTACTGTTTTACTACAGAAAGGGTAAAAATGCTGTTCAAGCCAGAAAGAAATTGACTGATGTGTATGGAGAAGGTGTGTTGACAGTACGCCAGTGCCAGAACTGGTTCGCTAAATTTCGATCCGGCAATTTTGATGTCGAAGATGCACCACGTTCGGGAAGGCCGGTTGAAGCTGATAAAGACGCGATAAAGGCATTAGTTGATGTGAACCGGCGAATAACAACACGTGAGATCGGATTGAGGTTAAATTTATCAAATTCAACAGTTTATGACCACTTGAAAGGCCTGGGATTATCCTCGAAGCTCGATGTATGGGTTCCCCATGTTCTCACAGAGAGAAATCTGTGTCGCCGCATTGACGTCTGCGATTCGCTTCTCAAACGTCACGAAAATGATCCGTTTTTGAAGCGCATCATCACTGGGGACGAAAAATGGGTTGTATACAACAACGTCAAACGCAAGAGGTCATGGAGCAAAAAAGATGAACCGGCTCAAACCATTTCCAAAGCCGATATTCACCAAAAAAAGGTGATGCTGTCTGTTTGGTGGGATTTTAAAGGAATCGTTTTTTTTTAGCTTTTACCGGATAACACAACGATTAATTCGGAAGTCTACTGTCATCAGCTGGACAAACTGAATGATGCACTTCAACAGAAAAGGTCAGAACTAATCAACAGGAAAGGTGTAGTGTTTCACCAAGACAACGCGAGACCTCACACAAGTTTGGTCACTCGCCAAAAGCTTTTACAGCTTGAATGGGATACAATGCTACACCCACCATATTCTCCAGACCTGGCACCATCGGATTATTATTTGTTCCGGTCACTCCAAAATTTTTTAGACGGTAAAACCTTCACCTCAAATGAGGAGGTCAAAAACCTCCTCGATCAGTTTTTTGCCAGCAAAGACCAAAAATTTTATGAGCGTGGAATTATGCTACTACCAGAAAGATGGCAAAAGGTGTTGGACCAGAACGGTCAATATATAATTTAATAAAGTATTTGTTTATTATACGAAAACTGTCTTTCATTTCCACAAAAAAAAACGAAATGACTTTCTGAACAACCCTATACATTATACGTAATCTTTTTTTGTTGACATACATAAGTATACTGCCCCTATCCATATGAGGGAAAGAAAAGGTAACTGCAAACCCCTAATCTAGCCCGTCTCCAATAAATCATCCAAACTTACATATATGATGGTAATTCTTTTGCGAAGGATCTAATTAATAAAATTGGGAAATTATTATAATTGCGTAGTTTACTTTTTGCAATATAATTAGCGTGGGGATGGATCCTTTTCTACCTTCCATGGCTATGCTTATGTATGGTACATATTCGTAGTTATTATTAGGTACATATGTATATGTAAATACAGTATGGTCTAAAATGACATGCTTTTGTGCCATTTTGTATTTAAAAATTTTTATTTTTATTGAAAATATTCTTTCAGGAAATCGAGCAACGTGTCCAGCAACAAATATCTGCTCCAGCAAGGATTAATGATACTTTGAAGTACTGAATAGGGGAAGATGATTGGTGGATCTTAAAAAAAAAATAATAATAGTAATAATAAAACGAAGAACCTTATCCGTCTACCTAACCTTCCTTCTAATTATTATTTATTACTGTATATTTTTTGTAACTATGTATATTGGCAAGTAAAAAAATGTATATATACTGTTATAATTTAATATAGTTTATAACCTAATTCTAATTCGTAATAAATCCAATTTTTATTTGTCTTTTTACTACATAACCCGGTTATTTTATTCCCGAAATATATCCTAAATATCAAAAAACAATTTTCGAAAAATTATCTAAGTATGTAAATCTGTGATATACCTACTAGTCCAACCCATTCAAATGAATTAAATAAAAAAAATTGAAATGGACTTTCTGTACGTCGATATTTAATTTATTAATACGTAAATGTCAAAATTTCTGGTATAGAAAGGTACTGTACCACAAATGTACAGAAAATAAAAAAAAATACAACGTGTAATTATACAACACGCTACTGAAGTGAAACTTCTTCAAACTCACAAACATACCGGGATAGGGGTTAAGGAATTGGTTTAATGGTATTATATGTACACTATGAATTTAAATTTTACACTATACA